TATCAATACGCGCGTCCGCGAACATACCTGATGCGCTGCAAAATCGTGGCAGCCCCAATAGCATCCTAAGACCATTATTGTATTGGACACGCAGGGCATTGACCGTCGCTTTATAATAATAAAGCCGGAGGTCTTATAATACATGTACTCTTTTTACAGATGAAAGTAAATCTCTAGTGAAGATCCTATCTGGAGTAAACATTAATGTTGCGCATTCCGTACAGAGAAATAGAAACGAATATTATCTGCAGCATATTACATTTGTCGGCGATCTGTCTTGCACCGGAATTGAAACTCATTTGGTGCAGGTAAATAAATGTCTACTAAGACTTTTGGGTAATTTTCACCTGAAGATATAGCCTCTTTAAAATTTTTCAACTCGTGGAGCCAAATTTCAATTATCAGTATCTTCTAATAGTCGTATTTTCTAAACAGGCCAGTGAGGAAGGATACTTTCAGGCACCATATCGCTGGCTTTTGCTGAATGGTGACCAAGACAGTGTACTGCAATTGGATGCCCTGGTGGATAGTGACGTGGTAATTGCGAGGAAGGCTGGCGAAATGGACTATTTGTTTGTTGAAGGTTTGTTTTAGAAAGGCATTATGTTAAATACAGAGTTCGCAGAACCAAAAAACTTATGGCATCTATAAAATAATCTCAGTACAAAGTACTAAAAAAACCGACTCAAAAGTACGTGGAATTACATCTATTTGCCAAGTTTCATTGAAATATCCCCTAGTTCGCCACTATACAGGACTTGACACAGGAGATAATAAAATAAAAATCGGTTCTCACTACTCAAAGTATGTTGAGAGAAAAACGCCTTGAATTGGAGAATAGCAAAGCCAACAATTAATATAATTGCTCCATAAGTAAAATTTAGGCGCTATTTATAAAAATGGATATTCATGTGTGATCAGCCCCCCTTAGAGAATGACTTTCTTTAAAATGAAATGGGACCACTATGGAGGTACCCTCTTTCCAACAAAAAAAGAATCATGAAAATCGGTTCACAAATACCAGAGTTATCCCGAAACATACAAAAAAAAACGTACAGTCGAATTGAGAACCTCCTCCTTTTTTGAAGTCGGTTAAAAATTACATAAATAACTAATCATCAAACGGAAGGAACGGAACGGAAAGGAACGAAAGCGTCAAATTCGCCTCGCTTCCGTTACGTTCCCCGCAATGTGAACTGAGCCTTAAGAGACTAAACAAAGGCATGAGATATAAAAGCAAACAAATTGGATTCTTACTGTTTCTGTAAATGCTGAGTGCATTCTCCGTCTGCTGCAATAGCTGCAAACATGTGTGTTAATTAATATGTACCACACCCCGGACACTCCATACAACGGTCGAAAATTATTTACCTACTACTACTACTACATATAGCAAGGCGCTATTTGCACACGCGCGAATGTGTGCGTGAAGTGGCAGGGTTACCCATCACTTGCTCGTACTATTTCGTTACGTGGTCAGAGCGGCAACATAGCGAAAATTGTAACGCGAATCTGTTATCTATAATTCTATTATAGAATCCTAATAATTATACATGTTCATTACGTATTTATATCGATATAATATTATATTTTTTATTAATTCACTAACTAGAAATATATTGAAGATTTATTTAAAAATATATTATTTTGGACAAGTACCTTTAAATAAGGTTAACCAAAGTATTTGAAATTGCATGACCAACTTTATCATTACCTAGTTAATAATTAGATATATTTACTACGTAATATTTATCGGCAATACAAAATTGAAAATTCTAGAACTAGTTTAGCTTATGAAATTATGGCGTCTTATTATATTGATATAATAAATCTGTATTATATGTATATTACTCTGCACTAAAGAATACAATAACTGAATGAGTCTCAGACATTTTTATTTTTTTATTTATTAACCATTGACTTACAAATAAATGGACGACGACGGGTCTAATGCAAAAACCACGAAAAAAATGTCCCAAGTCAATCTATTTAAACGTAGTGACATGTAAAGGAATATGAAAAAGCTAAAACGTTGAATTTAAATTGTAATGTCATCGCAGTACTGTCTAATTTTGCTTGCTTCGCTGTCAGTCGAACAAACGAAGACTAAAGCGTGAATGACGCTCTGTATACGATTTTAACGCCCTATAAGTTCGGACACTTTTTAGCACCCACCCGACGTCCATATAAATTGTAAGTCAATGATATTAACGTACAAATTTCGTAATGAATAAATGAAAACTATATTCAAACATCAAAGCCGTCTTAGCGCGAAAACGGCTCGCCGACAGCCTTGTACTCGTTCAGTCAATGTGACCGTCAATGTGCGGGGCGTGGTGCAGTATAGCAGCTAGGGAGGGGCGGATAGTGTCCGTTCTCATTACTTATTTCTTCTCTGTATGTACTATACCTGCCAGCCTTTCAGTTTTCCATTTTTTTCCGTTAACTGTTTAGATCTGATATTGTACAGTTAGATACACCATATATATAAGGAAGTTGGCAGTCCTGTGGAGTTACTGGTCCATGGTTATTTGTAACTTTTGTATGATCTAATTGCTTTATATTTGTACTTACGTGGTCGTTAGTTCTAGCTGACTTTTTATTGCAGCTTACAAAATATCCCCGAAATCCGAAGCTATATACTACAACAGAGCAATGTGGCGTCCAAGAACCAATTCAAACAATTATATAGCGAACATATCGAAAACTGAGAATGGTAATTTAATCGCGAATGAAAATAAAGAACAAGATACGGTTAAAGGTGTTATTAAAGCAAACAATCTAATAATAAGCAAATATGGAACAGTAGAAGATTATAGAGACAGTAAAGTACTGTCTTCTAGACGATTGGATTTGAGAGGTCACACACTAACTATGGCCAACGTTATAACCGATACTAATGAAACTAGGAAGCATTTGGATGATAGGCTGTGAGTATATATGTGTAACGTTGATCTACCTATCAAATATATAGAATAAATAAGACAATAGATGGATTGTAAAATACAGTTGGCTATTAATACTTTGAAATGATAATGTATGTTGTTATGAGCGCGGCGTGAAGTCTTCTTTCAGTAAAATGTTCTATCAATGGTATTTAAGGTACTTTCCCTCCATGTGGCATAGCCGTAGGACACCCTGTATACCCAGAATTAGAGACAAAATGTAATTTAATTTGTTTGAAAACTATTCTGCCAAATCATTACGGCGTCAACTGCACTCCGATTGGCCAGCCCGAATTCGAAACAATTGACGGGTGTCGTCAATTGTATCACTTCAGACCGACCACTTTAATTTGAGCTTTGCTATAATGGATGAACATTGAAAAATTACATATTTAATATTTAATTACCGATAAAATGTGATTCCATTCGTTTTGTAATTAGATGTTTTGCTGTTTTTCCCCCAGCACCGAATGGAACAGCCCCCCATAGTAGAGATATTATCTTTATTACTACAAATACGGAATATTTTTGGAATATACTGAGACGTACATACATGTCACTTGTTGACGCTGTACTATTTCAGCTTGCTCATTTGTGATTTCAGTGCAAACGAGAGTTGATATTTAAAAGTGATATAAGGCGCATTTGCCTGATAAGTTGCCAGGGATGGATGGCCCTTATTTGACTTAGATGAATTTAAATCTTAAGTGTCAAACATGACGTCATACTGACCCTGTAGTATGGGGTTGTAATGAAAGTCATTTCTTAAAATAGTTTCATTTTATTTAAATCTTGTTATAATGGTTTTATCAAGAGTGATACGGTTTATTTTTAATCAGCTGCGATAAAGCTGTTGGAGTACTTATTTAAATTTGTCCTTAATGTACGCTTCAAATTTTCTCAGGAATCTCCACCAGGACTCTGTGACGAAGATCTCGTATATGGCGGTGAAGATTTGCTTCGAAATACTGAACAGCACAGCGAAGGCCATATTCACCAACTCGTGGGGATACAAAGGCAAAGATGGCAATTGGACAGGGGTTGCTAATCTTTTGATGACGAAGGAGGCTGATCTCGGTAGGTGTGAAATATTTTATTTTTACCGGAAAGCAGTTCTGTTATATTCCCAATTTAAAGGTAGGGAGACAGCCCCATAACTTTCCACATTAGTTTTGATTATATACGGTATACGAGAAGGGCACTATAACCTGTGCGCGCACAGGAAACTTATAAGTTCTGGTTCTGATCTCAGATCAGCCAGTACAGGGTTGTCACAGACCTCTGTGACTTGACTTCATCCGGTTCTTCGAGAGGCTAGTGAACGAGTGAGCCGCCCCGGGTGCAGTTACAGTACCCTCCTTATTTTCCAAATAGGTACCGAAGCTGTAGATACGCTCACTGCACGTTGCGCATTGCACAATTAGCGGTTGCCACCGCTAAGCCGTCGACTCTGAGTCCACTACCAAATCTGCTCATTGGTGGCGGAGCTATAAGACACGCACACTTCCTGACGCCGAAAAACGACGTCTTTCCAGTTCCCAATAACCTAAGCGGCTGGAGGGACCGGAGGATATCTAGTTTATCCTTTCCGGCACTTAGCCCGGAGGGCTAGTGCCATACAGCCACAGTTTTAGAAGTATTATAATAGTAGAAAGTATTTATTTACTTCTTGATTCCAGGAACCATATCGTTATTTACAAAGGAACGTACGGAAATATATGATTACATAGCCATGGTTGGCACTACGGCCATTCGCTTTGTATTCAGAGAACCACCTCTAACATACCAGAGTAATATATTTACATTACCATTCACTGGAGCGGTGTGGTTAGCGGTTTTCATTTGCACGCTTGCCTGTGCTGTGTTTTTGTACATCACTTCGAAATGGGAAGCTTCTGTGAGCATGGTAAGGCCTTTATATGAATAGACTGATTTTGATTGTGATTGGTTGTCGAAGTAATTACAATTAACACTTTTTTATTGTAATAAATAATTATACAACATAGAATACGTTTATTTGCCAGAATACAGTATTTATACAGATCTTGAGAGGTATATTGTATTCAACCTGCACGCAGGTATACAAATGTTAATGGTACTTTACATTTGTCTCTACAATTACATATCAGTTTGCATTTCGAATTAATGTCAATTGGTGTTTGTAATTTCTAAATATTCCTTATTACTTTAGAAGCAATGTGTCAAAAGCCATATTGTCAATTGTGATTTAAAAGTAAGTCCTTGTAGTGATTTAATTGCATTAGATAAATTATTAAAACTTTTTGCATATATTGAAGCAGTTATTCTTATAAACGAGTTTATGTCAATTTCTTATCATTTTAAATGATCTTTGTTATCATATATACACAGATCACATAACAAGTGATATAATTTCTTTTTAATTATGTTTAAGGGTAAGTCTGCAATCGCTACAGGCAAAGCGTTATATATCTTTATATACATATTATAGCAATTCCTAGAAAAGCAAGTAGTGTTATGAGAGGGTCCAGCCATTTATGTTTTGTTACATTTTTATTCTATAGTAGTATACTTGTAGACAAAATTAAACTGCCTCCGTCCCACGTTCGATTCCCGGACCAGGAGAAATATTTGTATGGCCTACATTTATTTCTCTCGTGACTTTGGGTGTAATTTGTGGTTGTGTAAAATGTGTGTGTCCATGGCACCCGCGACACAGGGTTTCCCTAGTGCGGGGCTACTTATGAAAATTTTAACAGTAACGTTACGTAATATTTTTTTATTAAGAGTTTTGGCAATACAAGTCCTTCGAGGCATGTCTTCGGTTAATTATCGGGATACTCAGCAATATTTTCCATTGTAGTTCTAATAGATTATGTTTTCAATTTCTCTTAAATAACTTAGTTCACTTATTCGGGTCTTCTAGGGACGGGAATAAATATTTATGTTTTCACTTTCACATAAATCACATTATCTTCTATAACTTTGAACAAAAACATTGAATTCGTAATTAGTGTAATTTTCAGGATAAAATCTTTTGTAATCTTTGTTTAAGATAAGGAATGTAGTTCTAACTTTCTTCATCACTATTTCTTTCTTCGTTTTTTCTTCATAATATACTTACTTAAAATAAAAATAATCTTTGTAAGACTGTAGTTGTAACTTCTAAAGCCCCCCATTTTTCTTGGCTACAATTCAGTCAATATTGTCGATAGAGTTATACCAATTAGAGCGGAAGTATGTTACTTCGTTATAGGCTCCAACGGATTCTAATAATACATATTTGACGTAAATCAACTTACGCCATTCTTTAATGGGTGATGTGATGAATATGGTGCTCGTAGCACATCGTACACTTGTCTCCCAATACACATTATTCATGCAAGTATGTTATATGCAATTTTACACTAAATATGTACAAATATTCTGTTTTTAATGTAAACAGCCTTATTTATTTCATAATGTTATGCTCCCCGAATTTTGTGAAAAAAAATAAAGAAACCAAAAACAAAATTCTAAAAAAACAAAATGCAAGGAATTTTGTGAAAAAATGAAAAAAATAATAAAAACACAATGGGACCACAAATTAAATTGGCGTAATGTTCATTGGAGGTATCGAAATGTATGTTTTAAACTTCATCTATTGACATCAGTTTTATCATACAAGCTCGTTTGTTTTGGGTATTTATACTTTTGACTTGGCTTTTTTTCTAGCAGGTTCTGTATATTGGAAATAATCTATTTTTCCCGTCTAAATCGGGTGTATTTCTTTTTTCAAACAAACCAACGTTGCGGGCCGGGAAATAGGTACTGTCAAATAAGTAATATTCGACTATATTATTATTTATTTATTTTAATTTATTGGAAGACCTACGGCTTACAGAAAAAAATCTTAAATAATGACGGAGAGTCAGTTATAGGTCCTCACAGAATGACACACATTAACTTGATACTTATGAACATTGGATTATAACTAGTAATTATAATATATGTCTACTAAGACCATCGAGTATATAACCAGAAATAGAGACGAAATAAGGGCCATATATTCCTGGTAACATATTAGCGATACAGCTCTTATAAATATCAACTCCCGTTTGCACTGAAATATAGACAAGCCAACTACTGACCTGTGCGTGCGTCTCCGTATAAAAAAATATTCTGTATTTATTGTAATAAAGATAATACCTCTAACAATGTCGTGCTATTCTATTCGGTGGTGTGGGAAAAACAGCAAAACATCTAATTAGAAAACAAATGGAATCACATTTCATCGGTAATTAAATATTAAATATGTAATTTTGCAATTTTTTTCCATTATAGCAAAGCTCAAATTAAAATGGTCGGTCTGAAGTGAACCAATTGACGACACCCGTCAATTGTTTCGAACTCGGGCTAGCCAATCGGAGCGCAGTTGTCACAGTAATGATATGTGTGAATGAGCGTAAATGAGTGTGTGCGTTATTATTATTTCTGGTTATATACTCGACGACAAAGACAAATTCGCAACACTTAGTAATTGTTTACTCGCCAAAAAACAAACTGCTCATAAGACGTTTTACCGATGCAACACTTGTGTTAAAAAGATGATTAACAACCTGCTTGGACAATAATGAAAACTATATTCAAATATCAAAACCGTTAAAAACCGTTCGCCGACAGCCTTGTTGCCGTTCAGTCAATATACGGGGCGTGGTTCGGTATTTAAAGCTAGGGAGGTGCGATGAGTGTCCATTCTCGTTACTTTTTTCTTCTCTGCCTAAGGGTCTTTATAGGGGCTCTAACAGAAATCTTAGACACGAATTCCGGGGAGTCCACAACATCAGAATGATGCGAATGTAGCTTCGTACTAGACATTTGGTCGGGTATTACTTATTTGACGATAATTGATGTGGACGGAAAACGAAAGTAGACCCCTAGGTGCCACGGTCACCGGTGACTGAGATGTTATTAGTCTCCAGCCAGTTTTATATAGTAATGTACTATTATGAAATATATTTTTTAGAACCCGCAGCAATTGGACGGATCTTGGGCAGACGTCCTAATTCTCATAATTGGCGCTGTGCTGCAACAGGGCTGTACCTTGGAGCCTCGATTCGCAGCGGGTAAGTATTATCATAGCGGAGCGAATTAGCAATGGTTTTGTATGTGTTCCCATTGTTAAGAGGCAATGGGTTCTCCCAACCTGCTGGACAGGGCGATGAGGACTTTGAACGTTATTGTTGGGAAAATTGACCTATTTGCCTGTTCTCCGTGTGAGTTCAATAAAATAGCTTTATTTGTAATATGTTATAGAATATAATATCGGTTTGTAATTTAATATAGTATAATATAATTTTAGAAGTTACAATAGAATTTTTGAATATAATATGAATGTTTGTAAGTAATGTTGAACAAGTGATAATTTTGGCTACACTATTGTATTAGGTTAGTCTTGTAATGATAGTTGCTAGCTTATGTGTGTAAAATAAATAAATAAATAAATCATGGACCAATAAATCAAGAGGAGTGCAAATCTCCATACTACAGAACGTAACTCTGAAAAAGGTCAACATTCCGTCTTGTATCTAGATGGCGCTGAACAATAGCCTGGAAGTAGTTTATATTATTATGCATGTATGTTATTCCATGACCTCACATAGGGCCCTAACTGAAAATCAGTGCTGAGATCGCATTGCGTTTTCCAACAAATACTGAGTTTGTGACGCTTTTATTTGCGTTTAGCACCACACAAAGTGTCTTTATGTGTAGTGTTCATTTTATTATTTGTGTGAATAGTTGGTTTATTAATTTAATTTTTTTTAAATACATTATTTATTGCTTTATTTGTGTTTTTGTTTCGTAATTATTTATTCGTGTTTTACGTTGTGTTTTTAATTCGTAATTATTTATTCGTGTGTTACGTTTTCTTTTTTGTCATTTATGGTGTCATTGCGGTAAACAAATAAATGTATTTTCTTTCTTTCTTTTCTTTATAGATTATGTATTAGGCCGTTAATAACAATTATTTTCTGAAAATTGACAAATATGAGTATAAATAGATGGCCTTTTGAGTTACAAAGTAATTTAAAAATTAATGTTTAAATTAAACAATTCATTTAAGCATTAATTATAAAAATTAAACGTAATAAAAAATAGCGAGCGGTGTTCATAAAAATGTATGCAATAAGCGCCATCTAGTTGATTTGATTATTATCACTGGAAATAAGAGTAGCTTTGATAAATTGCATTTCGTCAATGTAAAACAAATTCGTTACAAAAAATAGCTATTTGGTACTTGTCGCGATATCTAGTGGACCTACAAGTACTAAATACTCGACAACGCTTTCTTGTATCGTAATTACCAATCATCGAGTATATAACCAGGAATAGAGACGAAATCACGGCCATATATTCCTGGTAACACATAAGCGATACAGCTCTTATAAATATCAACTCTCATTTGCACTGAAATACAGACAGGCCAACTACTAACCTGTGAGTACGTCTCCGTACATTCCAAAAAATATTCTGTATTAATTGTAATAAAGATAATGTCTCTAACAATGCCGTGCTGTTCTATTCGGTGGTGTGGTAAAAATAGCAAAACATCTAATTATAAAACAAACGGTATCACATTTCATCGGTAATTAAATATTAAATATGTAATTTTGCAATTTTCGTCCATATAGCAAAGCTCAAGTTAACTGATCGATTTGAAGTGAAAATAGTTGACAACACCCATTGACGACACCCGTCAATTGTTTCGAACTCGGGCTAGCCAATCGGAGCGCAGTTGTCACAGTAATGATATGGCAGAATAGTTTTCAAACAAATTAAATGACATTTCGTTTCTATTTCTGGTTATATACTCGATGTTACCAGTCCTCTTGGATTATTGGTCCATGGTTTCACAACAGACAATTTATATTATTGATTTTTTTTCTTAAATAACTCCACTAGTTTTTTAATGATTATTATTAATACAAAGATGCCGAAAGTCAGAATGAAGATCTTTAACAAAAACACATAGGAGAATTTCAATAGTTCGATAACTTTACCTGTGGCTCAGTTGGTAAGAGCAATGCTACGGTGCCGCATGGTTGTGGGTTCAAGTTCAATTTTTATGTGCACATAAAAAATAATTGAATATCAATTCAATAAAAATTTAAATTCAATGAATAGCGACATCTCTAGCCGGGACTAGTAGCTGTAAAGATATCTAACTGGGTGACGAAATACTTTCATAGGCTTCTCATAGATGGCGCTACGGCTAAAAGTCATTGAAAAACCAAATACAAAGATAATACAACAAGCACATAGAAGAATTAGTGAGGGTCGCTGGTTCGTTTCGTAGCTTAGTTGGCATAGCGTCTGCCACGGTTTGCTGAAAAACGTCGGTTCGAATCCGACCGGATCGAAGGAATTTTTTTAAGTGTTCGATCTTTGTATATTAATAATTAAAGTGGAGTTAATTCACAAAAAAATGTCAATAAATACATTTGATCGAAAAGCGACATCTGCGTCAGTTGTGGTATCTGTAAAGGTATCGGCAGCGGTGAGAAAGTTATTCAAAAATCTCTCACCAGATGTCACTAGCGGCGACGAATGCCGAAAGCCAGTACAAAGATCTATGACAAAAACACATAGGAATTTCGACGACTCGGTAACTGGACCCGTGACTGACTGAGATGGTTAGAGCAATGCTACGGTGCACCATGGACATGGGTTCAAGTCCCACAGAGTCGAAGAAATTTTTCTGTGTTCGATCTTTGTATTAATAATCAATAGGCAATTCTTTCAGGACGTTGTGTGACTCTTCTGCTCTTCGTGGCATTGACGATTCTATTCGCGGCTTACTCGGCTAACATTGTGGTCCTCCTCCGAGCGCCAAGTTCCTCAGTAAGGAGCTTACAGGACCTTCTGGACTCACCTCTCAAGTTTGGAGCCAGTGACTTTGAGTATAATCGATACTATTTTAAGGTATGTTGGCCGTCGATGGAAGTAATCCGTGTATTGGGGTGGTGTGTTTTTACTTTTTTCTTTATATTAATATAAGCACACCCCGGACACTCATATCACTTAGAACGATCCATATCCACATACCTCTCTTGCTTCACTTACATTCATA